TCTGACTTGATTTGGATCCTCAGGATTTCACATGGAGCTGAAATGACCTTATGCTCCCCTATCCCCGAGTTGGAACACCTTGAATTACATAGGGGAAGCAGCGAAGCGATGCGGACCAACGGCAACGATTCCAATTCTCTTCGTAGAGTAACGGAAACTTTTAACGCACTTTTAATCACATCGTCATTTACTTTTCATAAGAGACTTTGAATAGGAGAAAACGTTTTATTCACAGTCAGAAAGAATACTCCTTTATAGCTTTGTCCTAACAACTCGTTTAACTTGTTCACATCAAGTTATCAGAGAAAACGGTTATCTGATAACAGCCTACAAGACCATTCACCAAGTGGACCGCCCAAATAGGATAACGTTATCGGTTCAAAACCAACAGTTCCATGGGAAAGACACTGGCATGCCCCACAGTAGGGTAGAGGCTAGAATAAGATCTAACTTCTCCCATAGAAAGTGTGCTTTATGGAACGGTCTGCTGAAGGAAGGGCCACAGCCACATCAGTCAACTCCTTCAAATTACTGCTAGGTGGGTGCGTGAGAGCGAACGGCTAACCACGGACATTTGTCAGTAGTAAATGGTGGTATGCACTTCCATCCTTGCATTCCCTGATCCTAGTATCTGCAGTAAGACACATCTCTTCTCCATAATATTACCAGCAATACCTATCTTTCCATAAGTACTTTTCATTCCTCTTTTTCCCATTCACCACCCACCCTGTTTCTATCACTTTTTAAGCAACTATTACTATCCTTCCCAGCCCTGAAGGTGTCGGGGATGTACTTTTGGCACCTCATGTGCTAAAAGCTGAAGCGGAAGTTAGGAAACTGCCAGACATCCCACATTCTGAGTGAAAAGCTCTAAAGAACCTGTCGGGAGACAATCGTGACGCCTACTTCAGAGGAGGAAACCTAATAGTGCAGGGCATACCAGAGAACCCAGGCACCAAGGATATTAACTACGATTCTCGCGAGTGGAAGTTCCTCAAGAATGCTATGGACCCGAAGGAAGCAATCACCCAAAGTGCCTCACGTGTGCCCGAAAAATAAGGTGACCTCAGACCAGGGCTGATCAAAGTGGGCTTTCCGACCTCTCAAATGGCAGCATCCACACTGGAAGCTTTCTGGGAGAACAGAAATCGCCTGCCACCTGCACTCCGCATGTGACTTGATAGATGGCAGAACGAAAGGCTGCAACGGAAACGGAAAAAACTGGAACTATTTGTTCCTCCGGAAGATTGCCCAGATGCAAAAAACGGGGAAGGACCGGGGAACACTACACTAGTAGTCAGCAATTAGGCACATTCCCAGCCCCCACGCCTGAGGATCCAGCCGGCCAACTGGAAAATAGAGAGAGTGCAGACACTGCATTCCAAGTACAGAGCATAAACTGCATCTACACTAATGCATAAAGTTTACTGAACAAAGTTGGCGAGCTGTAGGATCTAAGTAGGGACACTTTTGCTCACCTTATCGGTGTTACTGAGACATGGGCTTCGCCTGATATATCAAATCAGGAGCTAGCAATTCTTAATACAATGCTGTTTCGCGATGACAGGAAGGCTGGTAGGGGGGTGAGGCAGCACCTTATGTCAGCTCCCTTCTCAGCCAGCCAAATCCACATCCAAGGACTGGAACGCCTTGAAGAGCCCGTTTGGCGCACAAAAAGCTGTCCAAGACTACAAAGTGCATGATGGGAGTCATTTACAGAAAACCGTCTGCTGATTCACAGTATGACAACCAGATGCTGGAGGCAATCAGTTGCCCTCTTAAACTGCGGCACACACATACTGATTTGTGGAGATTTTGACCTACCGAAGGTCAACTTTGCAGATCGCACGTTCAGCGGGAGCGAAGATTCCATTGGAGCCAGATTACCCGACTTGATTGAGGGGCTGGGCTCCGAAAAATGTGAGAACGCTAACGCGAGTAAAGGAAGCTCAAACCCAATCTCGCTTAGACTGCGTCTTCACAAATGAAGAATCCCTGGTAGACAACTTAGCAATCCTACCTCCTTTGGGCAGTAGTGACCACGTTGTCATCGGCTTTCAGTTTGTTTGTGAAACCAATTTAACCAGACCTTTCAATGAACATCGTTGAAATTTCAGACGTCTTAACACTCCTGCTCTTCCAACCGCACTGGGACAGACAAATTGGGAAGTAAGGCATGCATGGCAAGATATGAACACCCACTGGGCATTCATACTTGAAAATATCATGCATGCGATCAGTCACTCTGTTCCACTTCCGAGGCCGAAGCACCTCAAGTTGCTCAAGGTAACAAGGAACCACACTCACAAACTACTTAAGTTAAAGAGACATTACTGGCTTGGACACAAAAGGATTGGCACCGAATGTACTTACGGGCAATTCACACAGACAAGAAACATGTGTACGAAGGCTTTGAGAGCCGGCATCAAGTCTGGCTCACAAACGTGTTTGTGTCTAACCTGAGAAGTCTCTTCCGCTACGCCGCTTCATTTCGGTAGGCTACGGATGGAAGTCACTCAACTACTAGGCGCGAACGGACTCACTGATGACGACACTGAAACAGTTGGGCTCGTGGCCAACCAGTATCTGCAAATCTTTTCGTCATCGTCCACCTACTCAGGGGCTCACAAATATCCCACGAGCGAAGTAGGGCTCTCAGTGGTCGACCTAAACGTTGAGCTAGTACAGCGCAAACTGCTACTGCTCACCAGAGACACCTCTCCGGGACCGGATAAAATCCATCCGATGGTACTGCGAGAGGGAGCCCCAATCTTGTCCGAACTCTTAAGTTAGTTATTTAAGAGTTCTTCGAATTAGAGGATAGTACCTGACTCTCGGAAGCCGGACCACATAACGCCAATCTGCAAAGGGGGGCAACGAGGCAATCCAAAAAACAAAGACCTGTAGCGCTTCAATCCATTCCTTTCAAAGTAATAGAATCGTTGATATACGATGGAATGAAGGGTTACCTCACAAAGATAAATTTTTTGCACCCTAACAACATGGATTTCGAAAGGGGCACCTCTGCATTACCAATTTGCTCACTGAAGCAGATGGATGGACCATCATTGTTGATCGTCGAGGACAAATTGATGTTATCTACCTAGACTTTGTTGAGGCGTTTGATCGTGTTAATCACAACTGTCTTATCGATAAACTAAAATTAATTGGGATTCAACCTCAGCTTATTGACTGGTCGTCATCATATCTATGGAGCCGTTCGTTTAGAGTTCGGGTGAGTTTCTCTGTGTCCAAAGAAACAGAATGTCCTAGTGGCGTTCCCCAAGGTATAGTACTAGGGTTTCTCCTTTTTCTAATATACTTAAACGACCTGTGTCAACAGGTCTCTTCCGAAATCCTCGTTTTGCCGACGATGTGAAACTCTGGAGGGAGATCAAAAGTGAATAAGACAGTGCCTCTCTGCAGGAAGACTTGACTTCACAGTTTGGCAGTCAACAATGGGCTTGCATTTAATCCTGAGAAATGCAAGGTAATACACGTAAAACATGACGCACCTCATGTATACAGCCTCAGTGGCACGGAACTTGAAGCGTCACTGACGGAAAAGGATTTGGGAGTGTTGGTCCCCCAGACTTAAAATCCCATGCCAACTGTGACAGAAACACACTTCGTATGAATTTTGCGCTAGTAACTCTTAGGAGAATTTTCGGGCAGTTCGATCGTGGATGCTTCCACCAAATTTTCAGCAGCTTCATACGGCCTCACCTAGAGTGCGGGACCATCGTCTTCCCCCCTGATCTCCAGAAGGACAAACTGAGATTAGAAGGCATCCAGAGGCGTCCGACAAAATCTGTTCAAGGGCTTGGGTCCAAAACATATGACGGACGGCTGGTTGTGCTGGATCTGTATCGTTTGAAATACAGAGGGCTAAGAGGAGACTTGATAGTGACTCACAACATTCTGAGCATGCGTGGCCACCTACTCCGTCGCCTATTAAATCTTATCTGCAACGTTTATCTTAGAGGACATGCACAGAAACTAAGCCCGGAACGTAGCAGGCTGGATGTCACGCACAACTTCTATTCCCCAAGAGTTTTCGAACACTGGAACACCCTTCTTGAGGATGTGATCCAGGCCACTTCTCCTGAATCTTTTAAACGCCTACTGGATACCCAGTGGATGTGTGTCTGGGGTCTGCCCAGAACTGAGTGGATTTCCACATTTTAATCGCCACTTTTTGACCTTTTTTTACTCGTACAACAGGTTAACATCCAGAGAGAGTAGTGATCCACGGATTGTAGACGCGGAAGCCAGTTAAGCGAAAGTTTTTTCTCCTCTGTCAACGACCATTTGAACCATTTGGACTTACCTGCACTTGCCTACAAGAAAAGGGATTACAAACGTTTGATCGGTCTTGTCAGAAGCTCCGTTCTGCCCTCAAAAAAAACAAGCCAAGCTACAATTTGCAAATAAAATACCTTCAAATAGACAGTTACCTGCTCCAAAGCTGTAAGCAGGAAGAAGCAAAGACTTCTGCAACCAGTATCCAATATTGATAGTGCGAGCGTAGAAAACTGGTAGTTTTTGATCTCTCGCATGTAGTTCTTAGGGCTTGATTCGAGTTGTTCGGTTCGCTCCTGCAATGGACGAGGAAATCCCCTCTGCTTCCTTGCTTTTAGCTTCAGTGAGGTGGATGTTTTGTGGGTTAGTAAGTTGTATTTGTAGAGTGATTGGAGAGCTACGGGTTGCTGGGAAGTTTAGAGGACCGCTGTGACTCCTGTCTGTGTAGGTATCTGAAAGAGAATAGTAAGGTAGTGGTAAAGGAATGAAGAGAGAATAAAAAATAGAGAGAAGGAGTACAGCCGAAAAAAAACCAAGCCCTGAGATCTAGAAGCAAGAGCTCAAAAATTTAAAGTTTCCTCTACTCGAACTATCGATGTTGGATGTCAGAACAACAAAGAAATAACTCGGACAAAAAGTTGTTTTATGTGTTGTTGTCATGGTTAGAGGAACGCACTAATTTGAAAGACAAGATCAGAATGAAAAGTGAGCCTTGAAATTTCAAATGATGATTCTTTCCTCTACTTTCATGATATGAACATTATTCGACTGTACTTAAATTTTAAAGCAGGATTCTTTTCAGTTCTTCTTAAAATTATTAAGAAGTTAGAAATTTATGCACACACATCTAAAGGCGCTTCAATAAAATATTTTGGTGTAATGATATGTTCTTTTGTCTGAGAATTAAGGAGTAGAATTATTGAATCATGTAAATATCTCGGGTAGCGGCAGAATTTCTTAAAAAATTTTTACTTAAGGTGGGAGTGTCAGTGTATACTATTCAAACTAATAAAAATGAAGAAATAATGGAGCAATCCATTATGACTGATACTTCAGTCGAAACGTTTAAGGAAGTTTCAATTGGTGTTATATATCGAATATTTCTGAAGCTTCAATACATATTACCAACACTTCAAATCAGCAAATAATCACATTAGCTTCAGTAATCAATATATTTTATGCGAATACTGATAATCAGCCTATAATCAACATCTGTATGCCAGTGAATAATCCCTATTAGACACCTCAGTGATGTGCCACTTAGAATGCTTTCTGACGAAGGTATTGGATTCAAACACACTTTATTTACCAGTCATGTCTTTTATGAAGTTTTCATTTATGCCATCACTAAATGTTTATGTGTTTCTCGAGTGTCCTACGAGATCTCATTATTAAAATAAATCTTTCAAACCGCTGGAAAAGTGATTGACTTTAAGTTTGTTCAAACACACTATTATTAAATCTTTGTACAACGAAATAACCTACTACCAAGTTATTTGTTAGTTTCTAGTCACTTAATGAAAATTTGCTTGACAAGTTCACAATTCGGTTGTTTTTGTGTCTTAGTACTTTAGATAATCACTGATTTTTTTCAAAATACTCATAACTAACTTCCACTCCAGCAATAATTGGCACAAGTACTAATAGTAAACTGGGTATTCATATTTTGAAGCTCTTGCTTCAACAGCCTAGTATATAAACGAACGTAAACAATATGATGAGGCCTAATTATTTAAAAACTGAGATGACTGATCACATCTATTAAGTAGCAGTCGACTACAACAAGGATTACACTCTCTCAGTCATAACTGACTACTTACAAACTCAAAAATAGGAAGAATGGACTGTTGGTATATGGACTCTGCATTTGTCAGATTCAAAGCAGGAACCCAAAAGTTCGTCAAAAATTGATGATGTAAAATTCATAATCCGACGTGAAAGGCAACGTAAAATTTAGTAGGCAACAAACAAATGTTTACCAAACGATTCAAGGTTGCAGTCTTATCTTTCCTAAAAGTTTTAAATCCTTTTCGACAGTATTCGTATGAAATTCACAATTGTGCCTCCACCTGAATATCTGATGCCATCTAAAAGGTCAAGATATCCAAGGAGCCAAGTAAATATTTAAAATATCGATTTCTATCTCAAGTTCATCTGTTCATCCCTAGATTTAGGTTGTTTACCATCCAAGACCCTGGGTTTTATATTTATCGGACACCCAAGTGAAACTCTGGAACAGAAAAGGGCCCAGAAAAACAGGTGGCTCCAGGATAGTTCAACAATGTATTGAACAGAACGTCACCCACTGTCAAGTCTTAAAATATCGGTATACTTACAGGCTTGCGTCACTAGCTTTGTTTCTTGGTATGAAGGTGTCACTTTGTTCCCATCCATTTAGGGATTTTATGACAGCATCTCATCAGAAAAGTTGACATCGGTCACATCAGTTTGCTGAAGGCTCTACAGTCAAACAATTTTTGGTGTCAGGGTCTGTAGTAGGGCATCAAATTAGGGCGTCTACCTCGAACAGTGTCCGTCTGGTATGTTTAGTCTCAACATTCCCGTGTAATTTCTTCCTATGCTTTGTTATTAGTTTATGTTTCTTCATCTTACTTAGCAGAAACAAGGCTTGTTGCAGAATATTCATTCATTAGCTCGGAGTACACTGATTAAATTTTCCTTAAGCCGAAGACATTTAGAAGATAAAGAGTCTTCTCAGCACATCTAGTGGTAATTTGATGATGTTGAGAGCATATCTCTCACTACGCTGATGCAAGCTGTTGCTTGAGTACTGGCGTGTATAGTACATCATCTAGCAATAAGAAGTAAAGTGGTTGTTTGCATTCAGCATCTCAATTACTTTGGAAGTTGAACAACCCCGATGGGTAATAGGCCTACAAAATTTGGGCACTGACAAAACATTTGATAATATGCATAATAAGCATTTAATACACTGTACAGTAGTTTTTTCTGTCCAACAATATGACCGTGAAACAGCCACAGGAAGACAGACCAAAGTCTAACGTGTTTAATCACCGTACTTATATGGCATTCGCTATGTGTTGGGAAGTTCACATATCTGCATCTTAAGAGTCATATGACTTTTCATCCTTCTGCTTATTGTTTCTTCTCTTTCTATGGATTTCTAAAAGTGTTGATTAAGTTTTTTTGTTCACTTCCCTACCTTTCAGTTTAGTGCCTTCCAGTTTGATGCACTGGCTTGAGTTACGGTCACTTGGGCCATTACACCCTAGTGCGAAGTTATGTATTAACACTGACTTTCTGACTCTTCTATTGCTTCTTAGTTTAAGGACTTACTTTTTCTGTCAGTCAAATATTCAGTATGTAATAGAAGGAAAGAAATTTGCGAATTGGTGTTTTCCGGTTTCCTAAGAGCACTGCAAAACCATCCATCAACACCAAGTATTTACTGTTGTTGATTAGAATTAGGAAGGGGGGATGGGTGGAATTTGACCGTTTAAAAACAACGCTAAAGTTCATTCATCTTTCTTATTCCCTAATTACAAGCATTTCTTGTCATATCCAACTGTCATCAGGGATCTGTAGAAATCAAAATGATAAAAAGTAATTTATGACTACAGATTTCTAAATCAATGTACTCAAGGGCCTTAGTTAATCACTGAATAGATAATGCCTTCTCAGAGTTGGGTAATCCGGTGCGAGTAAACAAGGTTTTCCCTGACATACAATAGATAAAAAGTCACTCAAACTTATTACTAACCCGTTTACCTGAAGCTTGTTAGTAATTCATAAAAATAGAGCAGTACTTTAGCCACACTGGAAATAAAAAATGCACAAAAACTGACTTCACTCAATAGGTAATTATTACAAACTGGAAAGTCTTACAAAAATAGGTAAGGCCCAATGATAAACTCTTCTACCCAACTATTCAGTAACATTACTGAATAAATCGTGAGTAAAATCTCTTTCAAGACATACAACACAATGCAACAGATAGTGCTTATTTGCGAATCATGTCCTCTATTTTTCGGCTGATTTAATTGGTAGGCACACAGTTACATTTCGCTTTACTTACTTCAGGATGAATCGTAAAAATCTCTAACTAGAAGATGAGAAAAACTTGTAAAGTTTTCAGAAAACTTATTCCGAAACATTTCATAACTACAGTGACTGAATTTTTTTAATTTTATTGCAGTAACGAAGCTAACTGGACTTATTTCTAAATTATTCAAGCAATATCGATACTGTAAGGCCTTAAGTAATTGTTGAAATCTAACCTAGATGAAATCAAACTTCCAGAGAAGGATGACCTACGTTTTTGCTAGAACTGGCGCAAAATCATGCTCCACTCCTGTCCACACCAAGCAAAATATTATTCCTCAGCATCCTGGAGAAACTAAAATATGCTGTACATTCAGAATTACGACCGGGACGGGCAGGCTGACTGGTTGGTTTCAGGAAGAACAAATCATTTGTGGATCAAATCGTAACACTACGCACCATCATAGAACAAAGTATAGAACGGCAGTCAACACTCTACCTCGACTTTATTGACTTTGAAAAGGCCTTCGACTGCGTTGGCCGAGGGGTAATTTGGAAACTGCTTCAACTCTACGGAGTACCACAAACTTTTATCAACCTCATTCAACACCTATATGAAGACGTCGCATACCAAGTAATTCACAATAAAAAGCTCAGTGATGCCTTTGAAATGAAGACAAGAGTAAGAAAAACTGCCTACTATCACCGATCATCTTTTGATTGTGGTTGACTGGACTGGATCATGCAGCAAACTGTGGGTAGAGAGAAGATGGGCATACGCTGTTTTGGAGACGAAAAGACCCTAGAAGATTTATATTTCACCGACGATGATTTATTTCTAATGTCGCACAGACTCGAAGATCTACAGGCGAAAACTAACAAGTCGGCAGAAGAGTTTGGGCAGCGAAAACGGGACTTCAAATGAATGTAAAGAAGATGGAGGTGATGAAGATAACCAACCAATAACAGCATAAACAACAGGTACAAATCAGCACTAATGGGGGAAATCCAAAGGAAGTTGTCACTTTCACCTACCTATGCAGGCAGCATCGTTTCAACTACACACGGCACAGACGATGATGTCAAAACCTGGATCGGAAAAGGAAGACAGTCTTTTATTAGCCTGAAATCCGTGTGGAGATCCACTGCACTACAATCAGCATGAAAATCAAGATCCTGATTTTCAACATTAATGTCAAGTCAGCGCTTCTAAATGGTTCAGAAACTTGAAGCGTCACGAAAAGCATTTCCAACAAACCATAGACATTCATCATCAACAGCTGCCACCTACGCCTACGCTCACTCGATACTGAAGATCAGATCAGATGACCAGAATAATAAGAATAAGCAACAAAGAACTCTGATCTGGTAACCAACCAACTAAGAACCCATCGCCCAACAAATATACAGAAGAAAGTGGAGGTGGATTGGATTGGACATGCACTGAGAAGACCATTCGGGGACATTACGCGCCAGGCCAGTCACTCGAGTGGAACCCAGGTGGGAAATGGCGAGTTGTACGTCTGAGGCGAGGGTGACATGGAGGAGGTAATGTGAGGAACAAATGAAAGCTTCTGAGCAGTCGAGGAGTCAGGTTCACATGACTGAAGAGAACTGAGTGGAATGGAGGCGTTCTGCTTAAGCCCTAGGTTCCACTAGGAACCCAAGGGGAAATTTTAATA